AGCAGTGTTCTGTTCCACGTGGACGCTTCTCCGTGGCGCTCTCCCCTGCCTCCTCCCCCGCTAAAGTCAGTGAGCGTGCCCATCAGCCCCGACACGGTGCACAGCCCTTCTCTTGGTCACAGGCTCTGTTTCCTTCTTCTAGAACATCGGCTCCACGGACACAGAATAGTCCTTTAGTTCACCTCTGTGTCCCCAGCACCTGGAATGGTGCTGAGCATGTACGAAGCCCTTAGAAAGTATCTGATGAACAAACGAAGGATGAGTGATGAGTGGATGAGACGAGTATGAGCCTGGAGCTGGCAGTCGGCTGAGGAGGGCTTTGCAGAAGGCTTGGTCTCTGTCTGAGCCCGGGCACTGCACATCCAAGCCCATGTTCCAACCTGCCCAGGTGGACAGGAGCCTGCACCTCCCGCTTGGGCCTCCCGCGGTCCCTCCCCCGTGAATTGCTCAGGAACCCCTGGGGGTACTCTGTCAAAGTCCTGGGTAGGGAGATTGTGAGGGGTTTTCAACCTGTTAGTGGTGAACAGCACCAGATGTTAGACCTTGGTCCTTGAGTTGGGCTAGAAAAGAATTCATTGTCAAGACTCAAATGCAAGGGACAGTGTATTTAGAAAGTCACAGAGGTAGCCCTGGCCAGTGTGGCTCAGGTGACTGGGCATCGTCCCAGGCACCAGAAGGTCCTGGTTCGATTCCCCGTCAGGCCACGTGCCTGGGTTGTGGGCTCCATCTCCAACAGGGGGTGTTCAGGAGACAGCAGATTGATCTCTCTCTTTCTCTCTCTCTCTCTCTCCCCCCCTTCCTCTTTTTCTAAGATCAATAAAAAAATATTTAAAAAAAGAAAAAAAGTCACAGAGGTAGAAGAAGTGAGCCAGCTGGGCTATGTGTGCTTGGGAAACAAGTTACAAAGTCAGAGGAAGGGCCCTTGAAGCTTAGGAGAGAGAGGAGAGAGCCCTGGGCCTTCATCCGCAGGCTTCTCTAAAGGCAGGGATTTTAGGGGATGTCCCAGGGAGGATCTCAATCCCTGGCATGTCCTTTCAGGGTCGTGGTCTCTACTGACTGGTCGGTGCTGGGGTCGGGGGGTCACTAGTCAGTGCAGCTGGTCCTGAGGCAGCCAAGGGTCCCTTCGTCTGGTTTGGGGCGTTCCTGGGCCTGGAGCTGAGACACAGCTGAGGCCTGGATGCGTCTCCAGTCTGACCGGATGTCTCTGGGGTCAGCAGCCCCGCGGCTTTGCCCCTAAGAGTATCTGATGTGGGTCAGAGCCTCACTGTCCCGAGGGCTTAGTGCTTAAGGGAGTGGGCAGGCAGGGCTTGTGTGGGAGTCTGGGAGGCGACTCTGGGGCCCCGCCCCTCCTCTAAGGGGGTCTGAAACCACATGGCTAGTGACCTGCCAGGGGGGACAGGTCGGGGGTGTCCAAACTGCATCACCAGCGATAGGATAGGTCAGGGGATCTAAACCGATGTGTTAGGGTGGAAAGGTCACTCTGGGGGTGAAGGCCCACCCTAAAATACTTGTGTTCCAAGTTTCGCTCGTTGCTAGGCACCTGGGCCTGTCCGCCCTGGTGACCTCTGTACCTGGCCTAGCGTACCTGCTCTGCTCATGTCTGTCTGCCTACCGACTATCAAACCTACAGCCTGCCCACTTGAATTACCTGGAGGTTTAAGAGACACACCAACCAACAATAATACATGGATCTCATTCGGACCCAATTCAAACAAACAACATTTATGAGATAATCAGGGTAATTCACACACTGGCCAGTTGATAATATGAAGGAGCTATTGTGAATTTAAGCAGGATGATGGTATTGTGGTTATGTTTTATTAAAAGTTCTTATCCTTAGAGAGGCATGATGGGGCACTGTGGGTGCAATGGCACGATGTCCGGGGCTGGCTTCGGAAGGACCCAGGGCAGGGCGACGGTGAGAATGTGAACGAAATGAGATAAAACAAATTCTTCTCCATCTGCTCCCGCCACCCTGGAAGGCGGGTGCTAAATCTGACGGGGACTCTGTGGATCGGGACATCTGTGAACACTTCCGAAGCCCGAGATCCAGCGTGAGTGTGAGATGTGCTGTGACGGCGGTGTGGGTGCTGATTTGGACCTAAGGCCGGCGAATCTTCGGGTGGAAGGCCAGGTCACTAGTGTTGGCTTTGCTGGCCGCAGAGGGTCTTGGTTGTAGGTAAAAGCAGCCGCAGACCACAGTGAAGACACGGGCCAGGCTGAGTCAGTGACACTGAGCACAAGGGCAGCCGTGTGGACCAGTGGCCGACCCCAGGTGTCACTCCTCCATCTACCAGCTGGGTGAGCTTGGATGGGTCTGCAGGCTGGTAAAGTGGCATCATGATGGCACACACCCACGATGGACGTGCTGTGAGCATGAACGAGCTGGTGAGGGTAAAGCTCACACTCCAGCGTAAGGCATGTGATTTCTCTATGACTAGAGGCAGGTCCGAGCCTGGGTGCTGCGTCTGCAGGGCCCGCGGAGAGAGACAGGCTGGGTTCAGGTCAGAGACGAGGCAGAGGCCAGGGCCCTAGGTGCTGCGTCTGCAGGGCCCGCAGAGAGAGACAGGCTGGGTTCAGGTCAGAGACGAGGCAGAGGCCAGGGCCCTGGGTGCTGGGTCTGCAGGGCCCGCGGAGAGAGACAGGCTGGGTCAGGTCAGAGACGAGGCAGAGTCCAGGGCCCCTGGGTGCTGGGCCCGCAGGGCCCGCAGAGAGAGACAGGCTGGGTCAGGTCAGAGACGAGGCAGAGTCCAGGGGCCCTGGGTGCTGGGTCTGCAGGGCCCGCAGAGAGAGACAGGCTGGGTCAGGTCAGAGACGAGGCAGAGTCCAGGGCCCCTGGGTGCTGGGTCTGCAGGGCCCGCGGAGAGAGACAGGCTGGGTCAGGTCAGAGACGAGGCAGAGTCCAGGGCCCCTGGGTGCTGGGTCTGCAGGGCCCGCGGAGAGAGACAGGCTGGGTCAGGTCAGAGACGAGGCAGAGTCCAGGGCCCTGGGTGCTGGGTCTGCAGGGCCCGCAGAGAGAGACAGGCTGGGTTCAGGTCAGAGACGAGGCAGAGGCCAGGGCCCCTGGGTGCTGGGTCTGCAGGGCCCGCAGAGAGAGACAGGCTGGGTCAGGTCAGAGACGAGGCAGAGTCCAGGGCCCTGGGTGCTGGGTCTGCAGGGCCCGCAGAGAGAGACAGGCTGGGTTCAGGTCAGAGACGAGGCAGAGGCCAGGGCCCCTGGGTGCTGGGTCTGCAGGGCCCGCAGAGAGAGACAGGCTGGGTCAGGTCAGAGACGAGGCAGAGTCCAGGGCCCCTGCAACACTGGGATGTATTGAGAACACCCCCCCCACCCACACACTCTCTCACACACCCCCACACACTCACACCCATACACACACACATACACTCACACACACCCACACTCACACATACATTCACACACTCTCACACACACTTCCCCACACCCACACACGCATATATTCACACACACACACTCTCACACACACTCTCTCACACACTCACTCACACACTCACACACTCACACACACACACACACTCACACACACACACACACACACACACTCACACTCACTCACATTGGAACGGAGTCCAGGGAACGAGAAGAGCCCCTTGTCAGGGCCCCGGAGCATCGCAGCTCTAACTCCTCCACCCCCTGCTCCTGGCTGGAAGGCTGCTCCCTCTGTCAGCACTTGTTCTTCGGAACCCAGAGTCTACAGCACATACCGCCGGTACTCGGCCCCATGCGGCCTGAAGAGCCCACTCTTGCAGCTTGTGCACTGGGTGGCGGGTCCCTGCGGTGAGTTCCAAAGACGTGTTTTGGAGCCCAGATAACACATCATCGCACCCCAAGGCTGTCGTAGAGAGGTGGTGGCATGGAAACAACGGAACGTGGAGCTGCAGGTCCTTATAAAATACACACTGAGAACTGGTCACGATTCGCTGCTTATGGGCCATAACATTGCATTAGATCTATTTGTTTTAAATCCTCAGATAGTTTGCTAACCGCAGTCCCCAGATTAATATAAAACATTCATTCATTCATTCATTCATTCCACTTGCTCATTTTCCTACCCCCAGTGCCAGCTGCTGGGCAGAGAGCAGTCAGCACAGAGTAATGTAGATTGTGCTCACAGAGTCTGTGCACTACCCAGGAGAACACCTCTGTGCTTGAGCAGGTCAGCAGAGACCTCGTGCTCTCGAAGGTGTAGGGAAAACGTTACTAGGGGGAGAGGCGGCTTCTGACCAGACATCATCCTGACAGTGCGCCCCCATCCTGCCCCAAATGAGAAAAGAAGGAAAGGAAACCATGTTATAGATCTAATGTGTACTTTTATGGCAAGATAGCTAGGATATATTTTATATTTTTGAACAAGAAAATCAGAACACCAAACAATATGCATATCTGATTCCACATTTTCAACACCTGTAAGGATTTATTCCAGACTGTTAAAAGTAGCTTCCTCAGGGATGGGGTTATGGGAGAGATTTTTATTTTCTACTTAACATATTTTTATTGTATCGGTTGGCATTTTTACAAGGATTCTAGTCGTGACTTTTAAAAGACATCATTACACTTGAGAAAATTTGTTAAAAAAAATGGGGTACACTGTGAAGTAGTGAGCTTCCTGTGGTAAGGGGCATTCAAGCAAGAGCTGGAGGAGCATGAAGCAGAGGCTGTGATGGGGGATTGGACCAGTCATCTCTGGGATCCAGGAACTCATCTCTTTGAAGGACTTGTTCAGTGTTTGGGGAGCCAGTGGGCTCCACGGCTGGCATGGGAATTCGCTTCTCGCTGCTCTGAGCTACCTCTGTGCGGTTTACACAGGTCCACCTGACGCTCTGCCTCCCCTCCAGGGCCACTGCCAAGCTGTGGCATTGCTGGGGAGATGGTGGGCCCTGCCCCCCATGCAGGGACTGGTGGGCAGGGAGGGGCAGTGAAGATGTGAGCTCTGGCACGTGTGTTAATAAGGGCCCCTGTTCCCCTCCCCCTGCAGGACAGCCATGGAGCTGCTCTGGGGGTCTCTGCTGCTGGTGGCTGCTTGTGTGCCTGCCGCCCAGGGCTGGCCAGAGGACCACGTCAAGGACGCTGACCTCGACATGCCCCAGCCCTTGCACCTTGTGGAGGAAGGCAACCTGAAGGTGCTGACCGCCGCGGGCCTGACCCAGATGCTGAACCAGACCCGCTTCCTCATGGTGCTTTTCCGTGAGTGCCGCCTCCTGGGGTGGGCGAGGACGGGTGAGGCCTGCCCCTTGCCCCTGGAGGACAGGCGTTTTCTCTATTGCTAAACACGGGAGAACGCATATTAATATTTCAGAATGTAATGTGTATATTGACATCATTCCCCATTTCCAGATGAGAATAAGCACAGGGAGATTAAACGGTTTGAAGATCATACGTTACTGCTCCAGTCTGGACTGGTGTGGGGCTCCTCTGTCCCTGCGACAGCGAGGAGCCAGGCCTGCCCTCGGGTGTCCTTACATTCTGGAACTCAGTTTTTCCTTCTGTAAAATGGGCGTGCACCTGATGGCCACACTGGCTTGTCGTCAGGCAGCTGGAACACATCCGGAGAGCAATGTGTGTTGACGGTCATGGGCATGCTCTCTAGGGGGAGTTTCAGACCGTTATCTCTACCAGCTGAATCGCTGGCCACTCCGCTCTCCAGCTGCTGCTCTGCAGGAGCAGACGTCTGGGGGAGAGCAGCGTCTTTTCCCCCGAGTGGGCGATTTCTAGGACAGCTGCCCGTGGTGAGCACTTCCCGGCCTCACTCAGTGCTCAGTCATGTGATCCTCACAGCAGCCTGGTGGGGTGGACTCTCCCGGAAACACGCTCAGAGGTCAAGGGAGCTGGCGCCCAGTTCATAGTGGAGGCGCAGACCCGGGCTAGAGCACTTCCCGTGGGAGGACGGGGCCCAGAAAGCAGGTGGGAACACTGATTCCAGCCCTGCCTTCAGAGCCACTTCTGGGGAGTGGCTGGTCCTGTCCGTCCCCAAGTCCGCTCCAGGGCGCGCAGGCCTGCCAGTACCCACCCAGCTCCCAGCTCCCAGAGGCTGGGCGGCAGGGCAGGCCTGCTCCTGGCTTGGTTTCTGCCCCTTCCAAGCAGCCCCTCCTCCTACATCCCCCTCCCCCCTCTCAGCTGCTGTGTGTGTGGCTTCACCCCTCCCGCTTGCCCTCCTCTGGCCACAACCTGCGAAGGCTCCCTGTCAGCTCCGGTCTGACCAGGACACGCAATGGGAAGAAGCTGGCCTGAGGGCGCAGGCCTGTGCGGAGGCCTGGGCTCCGTGCTCACTGATGAGGGGCCTTGGGCACTTCTGGCCTCTGTCATCCAGTACTGAGAAATGGGGCTTTAATACTGTAACATGATTCCAAAGGAGTTCAGCACGGGGCCTGGTGTGTAACAGGAGCTAAGAATGTATTCTCTTTATTATCATTGCTGGCTTCCTCATCTGTGCCAAGAGTCAATGATGTCTCCCTTCAGGGGGTTGGGGTGACGGAATGAGGTCAGACACGCAGTCAGTAGCTCCTGGGGAGCACTCATGGGCAGAGCTCCTACTGTATAAACCCCACTTTACTCAGTGGTGCTCATGTCAGGCCCCGGCTGGGCCTGTAGGGGTCCCAGAGCCAAAGGGCTTGGTTCATGCTCAAAGAATTGTCTGAACCGTCCACACTTCGGTCCATAAGCAACATCACATTTGCGTGTGAGTGAAGCTCCGTCCTGCCCAGATGTTCCGGCCTTAGAGGCATGTCTGTGCCTCACCTTCCTCCCCTGTGAGGGCCAGGGCCCTGGAGTCCCTGCAGGGCCACCTGAGCATGTCTGTGCCTCACCTTCCTCCCCTGTGAGGGCCAGGGCCCTGGAGTCCCTGCAGGGCCACCTGAGCATGTCTGTGCCTCACCTTCCTCCCCTGTGGGGGCCAGGGCCCTGGAGTCCCTGCAGGGCCATCTGAGCATGTCTGTGCCTCACCTTCCTCCCCTGTGGGGGCCAGGGCCCTGGAGTCCCTGCAGGGCCATCTGAGCATGTCTGTGCCTCACCTTCCTCCCCTGTGGGGGCCAGGGCCCTGGAGTCCCTGCAGGGCCACCTGAGCATGTCGTGGGGGACCTGGTGCTCAGAAGATGCTCACACCCAGCCCGGCCCCGGGCACCTGGACAGAAGTGTCCGTCAGTGAGGACTGGGCTCCGCTACAAGGAACAGACCTGCTGCGGAGGCCGTAGTGAGCGCAGCTTCCCTCGCTGGTGGGCCCCGTAGCGGCCAGCGGCTGGCACAGCAGCTGGCACAGCAGCTCCCAGCGTCGGGCTCCTTGGCCCTTCTTGCACCGTCATCCTTGACATGTTAGATGGCGGCGGCACCTCCTGTGTTGCATCGTGGACCCCAGCTAGGACATAGGGGGACAGGCCAATAGCAAAGGGACAAGAAAACAAAAAAAATGTACCAACAAAGTATGTTCCTTAAAACAAACATTTCCAGAAACCCCACCAGTGACTTGGGTTAGACCTGGGCTGTGGCCCCTCCTGAGGTGTCTGGAGGGGGTGGTGAAGGTCCCCGCCCCCTGGTTGAGAAAGCAGGAGGCAAAGTGGCGGTGAGAGGCGAGTCACAGTGTTTGCCACAGGATCCAAGGCTGTAGCTCACCTGGCTGTGGGAACTGTCTTGCGAGAACTTTCCGTTTTGTGAGTTCGCCGTGCTAGGTGACGTCCTTGAGAGAAATGAATTCTCAGGTTGACTGCGAACTTTTACGCTCAAGCTGCTTTTCTGTTGTGATTCTGACTGGCTGTTTCCGAGGTCACCGCTAGCGGGAGAGCTCACCTGCATAACCCTCCAAACCCAGGTTCACAAAGGTCCACGGCACGCTTACCTCAGTCCCGTCAGGCCGGCAGGGGCCGTGCTCCCCGTCGCCCAGGCGCCCAGCCCTCCCGGAGCCTCGAGCTCCCCGGCCAGGGCCGGCCTGGCTCCTCTGCCCCGCCAGCAGGAGGCAGAGAGGAGGCGTCGGCGGGCCGGCCTGAGAGTGGCGCACAGCAGAGCTTCTCAAGGTGTGGCCCACGGGCCAGCGGTGCCAGCACCTGGGGGGCTCCCTGGAAATGCAGGCGCTCAGGCCTCACCCCACGAATCGGAACCTGCATTCTCATGAGATCCCAGGTGACCCCGCACTGCAGTGTGAGCACCCCTGGTGTGCGTCCCCTCTGCCTGCACCCCTGCCACGGGCCATCCCTTCCGGGCAGGGAGGCGGGAGGGCAGCGTGGCCGTGTCCTTGAGGGAACGCCAGGGTCTGGGGACACGTGGGGGTCTCCTTCTCCCTGTACTTCCTGCTGCTGGAGAAGCCTAGGAACGAGGTTCGGCCCGAGACAGCCCGAAGCTGTGGCCGAGGGCGACGGAGGCGCGTCTGCCAGGGGCTGGGTCCGCGTGTCTCAGCTTCTCCTGTGCGGAGCATAATGGAGCTGCGAGGTCCCCACGCCCCAGGCGGCCTGCGCGCTCGGACGTGACCCCCCGGAAACCTTGTCTTCTGAGCAGGAGTGTCAGCAGCTGTTTCCTCAGGGGGGAAGTGACTTTCTGGAGCCTGTTTTGTTCAGGTTGACGTTCTGAGGACATCTGGCTCCCGGATCCAGGGGCGCTTGGCTTCCCCCTTCTTTGGCTTCTTTGCGGCCCCATGCTGGGACCTGAGCCCCTAATGTCCCTCTGTGGCTCACTTCCTCAGTTCTGCTGCGTCTCCTCTTCCCGTGACCCGATTCGGGGTGCCCTAGGAAGACGGCCGGCTGGGCCGTGCTCGGCCCACACAGCGTTCCGGAAGCTGGGCTTTCACAATGAACATTGACTTTACATCTGCTCTGACAAGGTAGACCACCTGGAGCCCCACCCCATCCTCTTGCAATAGGACCGTCGGCTGTGAGTGACTAATGAGTTCTCCTTTCGATCGGAAAACTGGCCTGTCAGCTTGCACATCCCTAACCCTAACCCCACAGTCATACCGTCTCCAATCTGAGTCCGTGTCCCCTGCGGAAAGTCGGGCCTTGCGGCTCTCCCTCGGTCTCCGTCTCTTCTCCTCGGATAGGTTCCTCCGAGCGACCCCACTTCCACGGGGAGCTGAGGTGTCTGCCAGTATCAGCAGCCTTGTGGCCCTGGGCCTTGGGGCCTCCCCAGGAATCCTGTGCAGTCATGTCATAGAACAGGGCACTCGCGGGCACCCCTCACCTTGAGGGTCCCCAGAAGGGAAGATCAGATGGTCACGTCTGCCTGCGTCCAGCACGCTCATTGCATCCATTCCATCAGAGCAGTTCCGCCCTCCGACTCCCTCGGGCTCGGGCTGTTCATGAAGGATTTCCTTCAACCCAAGTGCCAGGGCCCCTGCTGGAGGACGCGCGGGGCCCCTGGAGCAGGGCCTGGCGGGAGAGGCCCAGGTTGGGCCGTTTCCTTCCCGTTGCCTGCGCGCCCGGCAGACACTTCCTTCCCTTTGCTGGACACTCCCCGGCCGCTGCCAGCACCGGTCACCCCAGCAGGACGCAGGCCACCGCGGGCACGTCTGTCCCCTGCTTCCTTTTATAGGGAAGAGCCGGGAACCGCGCATACTGCTCTGCTTCTTGTGGAAGCACAAGTGACGGTTTGCGCAGATCAGGCACCCCTTTTTCTGCCGTGGTTCTCATCTCTGCACCTGGGACCTCAGCAGGTGTGGAAGGGTTCACAGCCACACCCCTAGCATGACCCGGCACACGTCTAAACACAGGCTCACCTTCCCCGGGCCACGGCCCGTGGACGACAGGGCCCTGCGGTCATGTGAGCAGGCGACCCTGCTGCCCATCTTGAGTGGGGCTCGTGACTGCGTGGTTTTCGCTGACTGTGTGTCACTTAGAGGTGGACACTGAGCCTGGGCGACAGAGACAGCCAGTTGATTTCAAATTCTGTAATGACTCTTGATAACAACCAGTCTGAACCCTTTAAACTTCATGCATTCCCACCAGCGAGTGTGTGGTTCCAAGCAATGAACACCAGCAGAGACTTTTATCTCTAAGAGACACTCAAAACTCATTACATTTGAATATTTAATTCCTTCCAGAACACAGTTTACATCTAAATGAGTTTGCAAACACTGACCGGCCTTTTAAAGTGAATTTTGGGAAAACGAATCGCTTGGCAAAAGCAGTGTAAAAGCTTTTTTCCAAGGGCAAACGGGCTCTTTACAGAGAGGATTTTTCCAATATTACCCTGAGGGAAATACTGTCCTG